TCGCCAAACCTTATTCAACTGGAATTTTTGCGTCCACAATAAAAAAATAAATGAATGCACGCATTCACTTTGTCACAGATTAAATGAGTATTCTGTTGGTTACATACAAAATGTCAAACAAGACCTATAATCCACCACACGGATCAAAAAAAAAATCCAAGAGATTAACCTACATGCAAACTTACACTGTTGAATGAAGTGACAACATTTTTTACATTCGCATTGGTGACATTCTTCAAGCATCTTCAGCTCTTCATTGGGATCAGGTAGGTCACACATACGTTATGCGTATGGCAGCACAACTCTCTTCTCTCCAAGATAAATTAATTTACATTACAATAATGGGTGTTACAACCAGTGTTGCCAACATTTTGAGAGCTAAAAGCGTAATTAAAAACCAGAAAAGCGTAAATGGCGTAAAATCTTTCCTCAAAAAAGCGTAAAAAGCGCTAAGTATTTTTTCCTAACCAAAATTGTCAAAAAACACTTTTTTAACTAAATACTGTTTTATTCAAAAATTTAGATCGTATTTGCAAACTTCTGCCAAATGATTCACGGCCAGAAATAACGAATGTACAGCAACATAAAGGGAATGTCTTCCTTGAGCCTTTTGCATCTCACTTGCTTCTTTTGGATTAAACGATATTTCCGTCTGTTTTACATTCACTCCGCCAAAAGGTTGCAATCGTTTGGTGTGCTTCTTGGTACGGGAGTGTCTTACCAAAATGTTATACCTCACCAGAATTTCTGTCATTCAGTATAGGCAAGCATCTTTTGTCGTACCCTTTGAAGGGCGCAGCAATTTAATAAATATAGGGTCTTTCTCCCAAGCCGTTCTATATTTTGTAAAAATCAAAATAAACATTTACGTTTATTATGTTAACTTGTACAACAAATCAGCCATGTATGAACTTTTTTCTCGTTCATTTTACTTTTCCTTCAATTGGTTTATAATACACAAAATTCTTCGTTTTATTAAAAACGAGTTACGTGTAAACCAAAGAACCTCAATGGCAGGAATGAAAGACACGTAAAGAATTTGCAGTAAAGAACTTGCGATAAGTAGATCCCATAATATCAGAATATTCGAATGTTTAAACATTGCCACATTTTAAAATCTAAAACCCGCTAAAAGCACCAACAGAAAAGATAAAAAGCGTACGTACAGTGTTTTTTTTTTTTCGTTTCGCGCTATGCCCACTATTTTGGCGTTTTGGGGTGTCTAAAAAGCACCATAAATAGCGCGAAAAGCACTAAGTTGGCATCGCTGGTTACAACGACCCATACTTCTCTGTAAATCAATAGCTACGGCAGCGTAAGGCGATGGGCACTGAGGCTCTAAATGATGATTGGATTATAATGCGTTAGTCCATCACGGAATATTGTTTTACAAAGCGACAGAATTTCATTATTTTTCTGTTTAAGATTTTAATTTATTGGATTAGGGATTTGAGAGACATTGTGCGTTCTCTTGCTTGCACAGACAACAACAGCAAAGAGACAAACCCATTGAGTGAGAAATAAAAACAGAGATGCCTGTTAATGATTTGCACAGTGTTACGATAGGGTGCAAAATGCGAATTTTTTTATTTTATTTTTTTTTTATTTCATCCATTTCTGTAATACAAAGCCTATAAGACCATATACAAGTATTACTAGTTACAAAATTAAACCTGAGCTTATAGTAATAATACAACTCTTTCATTTTACTAAAATACATAATTTTTACTTCTATTATTAAGAAAAGAAAAATATATAAATGTCCTAGACAACAACAACTCTAGATTAGTCCATCATTTTAATTCATTGCCAAATGAATTCGCAATTTCCTTTTAAATACATTATTAGTATGCGAGAATATTCTAAGTTCATGTGGAAGCACATTCCAAACGCGTGCAATCCGAACTACAAAGGATCGCGCATAAATATTCCTACATATCCTAGGTATAATTAATTAGTAGATATTATTATTAATTAGTAGATATTAAATTTTAAATCTGATGGAAAATAAGTTTATATAGGATTTTAAGCAATATCTCAAACGATTCCTATCAAATATGACACTATAATTTTTAAAAACCATATTGTTTCAAAAGATATTATATATTTGGTGCACAATAAACATAAAACACATTAAATTATATGTGGCTGCTAAAATGCTAATCTGAGCTGATTATCTCTCACCAACAAATTGATATTCGAGATTAATAAACGAGTTAAAAAGTATCAGTCGGTTTTGCCAACAGCCTCAGTCTAGCATTATGAGGAGATATCTGAGAGATATTTATAGAAGAGCATTGCTGATTTGTTTCGCAAGTTATGAGAGAGATAAATACAAAAATTGTGACTAACAGAAAGGGTAAATGTTTGACCCCCTATGAAGTAGGTTCCAAAGAAATTCGCCAGTATTGTTCATTTCGTATCGGACCTAAATAAATATGATATAAATATTGTGATGTGTCAGGTTTGGACTATATTGGTTACTTCCTTCACTTTATATGAGATATGTGATAATTTTTAGAAAATGTTAAAATCTGCGTGAGATTCCACATATAGTCGACCGAAGTATTCCATCTTCGTGCTTTTAATACAAATCAAAATATTGGTATGGGCAAAATTACAAGAAAATCGAAAATTTATATCCAATTTTATGCGAAATCGTAAATTCCATATTCATCTTAGGTTTCTGGTTATGAGAAATATTTAAATATAGCAAGTTATAAAAAATCGCTGACTTGTTTCGCAAGTTATGACAGATAAAACCATTGAAAATTGTGAGCCTTTGTGAGAAGAGAAGAGATTCGCAGATATATATTATCCTCACAACAGATTATGTGGTAGCAAAGATTTTTGTGTGTGAAATTTGAAGAGAGTTGAATGTTTATTTCGCTTTCTTTGAGGGTTTTGTTTTTCAAAATCTTGAACCCTATGTGGGGGAGGTACTAGAAGAAATAGTTCATCTTTATAATAAATCTTGTGTTAAAAGAAATATTGAGACGAAACAGGTCTGAATGGATACGGATGTTAATTTCGCGTTTTGTGAGGTTCATGGATATTCAAAATTTTCACCCTTTGTGGGGGAGGTACCAAAAGGAATGCACCGATATATCCAATCTTCACACCAGATCTTGGGTAAATAAAAATATTGTTATGTGTGTAATTTGAAGATAATCGGACTCTTACATTACATCTTATAAGAGTTATAATTATTCAAAATTGTGACCCTTTGTCGGGGATATTGTCCACTTTCGTCCGTGACCCAGCACTGATGCAGATATTGGGATTTGCAAAGTTGGAGCAAAATCGGACTATACGTTCTTTTTTTGAACAGTAAATTTCGACCTTTTGTGGGGGAGGTACCAGAAGGAGTGGACCGATATTTCCCATCTCCGAACTCGATCTAAGTTTGACAATAATATTACGATGTACCAAGTTTGGAGCAAATCGGATACTCCCTTCGAGAGTTATCGTGCGCACCAGCCAGAGACAGAGGGACAAACGGGCGGACATCGCTAGATCGACTCCAAATATCCTGAAACAGAGACCTTGGGTCTAAAACCGTTATTTCGACTAGGCACGTATTGACTGTATCAAATGATATAGACCCCCTCTAGCCACATGGCTGAGAGCACCAGGTAAGATGTAAGGGTGGAATATATCGGACCACTACCTCTGATACCTCAACCACAACGGGACAAGATTTTGAATAATTATGATTGTCATAAAATGTCAAATAAGTGATCGATTGTTTTAAAATTTCATACATCTCAATATTTTTATTAACACAAGATCTGGCACTTGTGAAGAAGGTAGACACTGGACTACTCCTTCTGGAACCTCCCCCATAGAGTGGTCACAATTTTTAAATGACCGAAACGCTCATAAAGTACGAAATAAGCGTCTTAATATCTTCAAATTTTATATCGGTCATTCCATCAAGAACCTCATCCACCTAGGGGTCAACAGTTTGGATAATCCGAACTCTAATAAAATGCGAAATAAGCAACCGATTCTCTTTAATTTTTCCACAACATAGTATACATATACTAGTGAGATCGGTTGGAGAATGCAGTAAATGTTTCCAAAGTCCCATAAAGTGGGTGGAACCGCTATTTGGGCACTATACCAAAATGTGAAGCTGTATAGACAATTTTCTCCGCCCTTAAAAAGGAACATGAAACATTTTATAATTTTTTTTCGAAAATGAATGAAATGAAAACCGTTATATGGGCTCTATACGGACCGGGCTCATTGACTGAAGTACCCATTGCGAACTTTGAAACAATTCCGGTGAATAATGTCGCTTATATTCATCGAAGTACCGAATATCGGGAGGTATCGTTATATGTTATGTTAAATGGAGGCTATACGAAGACGTGGATCTGCATAAGTAATTTTTTTTCATAGGCTGTAGTACCGATTCCGAACTTCAAATACGAGCTTGGGACATTTCCATTGACAAATATGGCTAAAATCATCAAAATACCGAATATCGGCGGGTACCGTCATATGGGGGCTATACGATATCGTAGACCTATATAGACTCTTTTTAAGGCGGCAAAGTACACACAAAGGACTCCTTGTGTAGAATTTCAGGCAATATCATTGAAAAATATGGCTAAAATCATTAAAATACCGAATATCGGGTGGTACCGTTATATCGGGGCTATACGATATAGTGGACCGATATAACCCATCTTCGAACTTGAACTGCCTGCACACAAAAGACTGATCTGTGCAAAATGGTAGCTTCCTATCTTAATTCGTTTTGACTGTAGCGTGATTAAAAAAGAGACGGACAGACGGACGGATGGACGGACATGACTAAATCCACGTTAAAATGTCTTCTATTCCATTCCAGTTAATTCCACTTTTTTACAACCCCGTCACACTGTGCGATAGCTGAATGTGAGCTCAACACCAAATTCAGCAACAATTCAGTAGCAAAATTTATGACATATATATTCGGGATTGTTTGTTTATACTGCAGCGACAAAAGCCAACAACAATGCGATCGACTGGGACAAACCCAACATAACCATCAACGAGAAAAGACGCACCGACAAGCGTAACGGCGGGCATTACGCTGCCAATGCTGGTATAAAAACATAAGTGGCCAATGTTAAGGGCATCAGTTGGGTTCATTATATCTCTAGGGAATCAAGTGGTTGAAGCAAGCGCACGCACCAACACCAACCGGCTAACAGACACACACACTCACACACAACAACATGTTTAAATTCGTAAGTATATCGGTTAGCATGCAGCTAATTTCGAATTGCATCATAAAGCTACAATATCAATTCTCTTGTGTACCGCTCCTTTCACCACTCGTCCAGACGCTGATGACGCTCTTGTTTGTGGGTGTTGCCACAATGGTGGCCAATGGCCAGGTTTACGATGACGAAACGGCCGATATTGTGGAAATGGCCTTCGAAGAGGCAGAAGCAGCTGAGGCCGATGAGGCCGACTTTTATGCCAACGACAATGACGTAATGGAGGATAATTTGGGTTATGTCTACAACGATGGCGCATTGGAAGATAACATCAATGTGGCAATTAATGCCGCAATTTTGGATAAATACGGCCAGGCAGTGACTAGTGAAAGAGCGGAATATGAAAGTAGTTTGGGGGATGAATCGGCAAACAGTGCAGTGGAAAATAATGAGGTGGATGAAGAAATCGAAACTGTGAAAAATAGTGATGATGATGATACGAATGTGAAAACTCATGAATCTCTTGTCGATGAGAAATCTTCCAGATCAAGTGTTGGTGGTAAAAGTTTTGTGGCCAAAAAGGCAAAAAAGTTGGAAACAACAAAGCCCCTAGCGAAGCCAGTGCAAAATGTCCAATACGATGACAATGATACGATTACACGTTTTGTAAGTCAGGTCAATCCGGATGGTACTTATGGTTTTGATTTTGCCCAATCCAGTGGCTTGGAGTTCAAAGAAAAGGGCCAGGGTGGCGTTTTTGCTGAGGGTTCATATCAATACATCTCACCGGAGGGTGAGCATATATCGGTGACCTATACGGCTGATGAAAATGGTTTCCATCCCGAATCGAGTGTGCTACCCACACCACCACCAATACCATCCTACATACTCAAGGCGTTGGAGTATATTCGCGAACATCCAAGTGCCGAACAAAAGACCGAAGAGGCCTCCGAGGCCGTCGAGGGTGAAGCTGAAGCGTAACGAAGTGTAAACATGTGTTTGTTTTTGTTTCTATTAGCCAGAGATATTTTAATTGTGTTCTAGTGTTAAGTTATTGTTATATTTATTGCATTAAGTTTTAAGTGTTGTCATTTTAGTTAAACAAAATATATACTTAAGTGTTAAAATAGTTGAAATTGTTTTGAAAAGCTAACATGACGCAGATGGATCCTCCGAGCAGGAAACTGGTAAAGGAAACTGGTACAGATATCAAAAAAGGTAAATATTTATTTTAGAATTTGAATGACTTTTTTTATATTTCAGTAGAAAAATTGGGGGTTTCCATTTGCCTAAACTCTCTCTCTCTCTTTCTCTCTTATCAGCAACATGAGTATTTGCTTAATCAGCAGATAAGGACTTCTACAATTAAAAAAAGAAAGAGTATTTGGGAGAGAGCAAAAGGAAATAGCTATTTCTCGTCTTGCAAATGAATCCATTTTTTATTTTTTTTTTTTGAAAATTTCAGAGTTTAGTGGTCGAACAAACACAACAACACTTAAATATTTAATTTTTTTCTTTTTTGTTTTTGAAAATTTCAGCCATTCCAATTGCATGTCCCAGTTCAACCGTGGAAATTTGCCACAAAGGAATGTTTTTGGATGAGAAGTCAGAAAAACTCACCCTTTTATTCCGGCAAACTTTCTACGTGTAAATTGGGACCATATAAAAGTTGGATTTTAAATTTAACGAGGTGAAATGGAAATGAAAAAATTACTTGTACTTCCCATTCCTTTCGTATTTTTATTCGGCCAAAACTTGCCTCATCGAAATAACCTTTTTAGACCCTAGGTCTCTTTGGACCACATCCGTTTCAGGACATTTGGAGTCGATCTAGAGATGTCAGTCCGTCTGTCCATCTGGCTGGTGCGCTCAAAATTTAAAAGGGAGTATCCGACTTGGTCCAAACTTGGTACGTCGTAATATTATTATTATCAAACTTAGATCGAGTTCGGAGATGGGCAATATGGATCCACTCTTTTTGGTACCTCTCCCAAAAAAGGTCGAAATTTAAAAAAAAAAAAATATTTTATTGCACAGAAGGAGATTCAAGAAATCGTGAACCCTATGTGGAAGCTCCAACTTTGCAAATCCTAATATATGCATCACTGATTGATCAGGTTCGAAAATGGACAATATCGGACAACTCCATTATGTACCTCCCACACAAAGGGTCAACATTTTGAATAATTATAACTGTTATAAAATGTGATGTAAGAGTTCGATTGTCTTTAAATTACATACATCACGATATTTTTATTAACCCAATGTCTGGTGTGAAGATGGATTATATCGGTCCACTCCTTCTAGTACCTCCCCCACAAAGGGTCAGAATTTTGCTTAGGCATGAAGCTCATAAAATGTGAAATTAACATCCGATTTAATGCAGACGTGGCATATCTCAATATTTCTATCAGCACAAGATCTGTTATATGTTATAAAAATAGTAGAGATCGGACCATTCCTTCTAGTAGCTCCCCTACAAAGGGTCAATGTTTTGAATAAATAAAACTATCATAAAATCCGAAATAAACATCCGGTTCTCTTCATATTTCACACATCCCACTATATCTACTAACTTAAGATCTACTGCGAAGATGGAATATATTGATCCACTCTTTCTGACACCTCCCTCACAAAGGGAAAATTTTTGAATGCCTATGGAGCTCATAAAACGCAAAATTAACATCGGATAACATCCAGACTTGGTACATCTCAATATTTCCATCAACACAAGATCTGCTATAAATATGGTAGAGATAGAACCATTTCTTCTGGTGGTTTAAATAATCTAAAATTGGCTAAAGGTATATATATGTCGGCTAAACCGATTGATACTTTTTAACTGGCACAAATGTTATTTGAAATGTTTTTAATTTTATTTATTTTTTTTCCTCTTGTAGTTCGAAATATTACAATTGTATTTTCATTTTTTTTCTTTTTATATAATTTTAATTTGAAATTTGAATTATTCCATTTGAAACTCGAAAAGATTTATTTGCCTTAGCCTTTCAAATTGAAAATAAAATGATTCGAATTACAAGTGGAAACATTTTAATTTCAAATATAATAACTCAAATAAATAATTCAAAAAAATTGAATTTTAAATTAAATATTTAGAATTTTAATTGGAATCTTGCAAAAAATCCCAAATTACAATTGAAATGTTACGAATTAAAAATGTATTTCTCGAATTAAAAATGAAATGGTACAATTTACAATGAAAATGTTTCCAATTACATCTGAAAAAGTGTTATTTAGATTATGACTAAAATATTTAGATTCGGAACTTCATAATCATTCATAATTTAAATATCTGAATATTTATTGTACAAAAATATTATTTTTGTTAACATTCAAGATAAATATTTAAAGTACACCATTTTTAGATATAATTCGAATAATTTTATTGGAATTTCGAAAAATTTATCAGTTTCGATTGGCATATGAAGTGTAGAAAATGAAATTTGAATATGATAAATTTCACTAATATTCCCGTCATCCTATTGATTGTTATCCAACGGGCATTGAACATATGAGCTACGCCGCACAGCTGCAGAGGGTTGCTGACGAATATGCTATTTATCATATTCGGTGACCGCCTCAGTAGAAAACCTGTAAGGAAAGATCAAAAGTCAGGCGGCGCCGACTGTATGATACCCTACGACCCTATGAAAAAAAATTTGTATTAGAAAATGAAATTTGAATATGATAAATATTTTAACCCTGAATGTGTAAAATTTGAAGTTAAATATTTTATACCTCCAATTTGAAAATCGAATTTCGCAGTGGTCATCAGTAATGGAATTCTCTAACTCATTTTTTGAGTTACCGACAAAAGTCGGTAAACTTAAAATGCATATAACTTCGGTAATTAACGAAATTTTTCGGTAAGCTAGCGTCGAAATCAAAGTAGTCGTTAAGACCTACCGATAGATACCAATGTTGTGAACTTTAACTTCTTTTTTATATCAAAAATTTTGATTTTAAGGTTACCGATTTTTGTCGGTAACTCAAATAATGACTTAGAGAATCCCACTAAAGATTATTGCAATATGATATATGTGTACGTTCAATACAAAGTAGCATTGGCAAAGTATTGAATAATTAAAAGTCGGGTTTGGCTCCACAAATTGTTTGTCGGGTGTTTATGGGACTACTTTTATAAATCATGAAAATCGGTAAAAAATATAATCTTTAAATTAATAAAATATTTCTATAAAAACTAATAAATTAAACAAACTAGTTCAAAAATGTTAATTGGATTTTTTATCTTTTAATCGCTAATATACAAGCAACACCATATCTATGCGATCAATGACCTCTTTACTTTCTACGATTTATATGTAGGCATTTTCTCACTTCTATTAGCGCCATATTAAATAATGATTACCTTAACCTTGAATCCAATTTGCATACCATAAATATTTTGACTCTTTATATAGCAAATCTTCAGATCACCACCAAACCTCCCACTGCCAAAAAATGAGCCCCAATAAAAATTAATTCAATATTGACCCAATTTTTGTTTATTTTGAACAAAAGTCGCAACATCATCAACATCCCAACAAGGTCAATGTTACAATGCATTGTGACATCTTCTTTTGTGATAACAACAACAACGACGACGACAAAAGTCAAGACAAATCAAATCAAATTTAACACTAACTGACCGACTAACTAACTCTGGGGATTTCTCCACGGGCAAAAAATATACAAATAACTGGCAAGAAATTTAAAACATGTTTTCTTAATTTGTTGTTTCACGTAATTTCACACTAATTCAATTCGAAGTCCAAGCAAAACAAAAATATAAACACGCAACTGAATACAGATTTTAATAAAATAAAAGAAAAAGATGGGATTGACAGGCCGACAGACACTTCTGCACACAAACGCACACACACTCACACTGATGAAATATAATTCACAAAAACACCAGATGATAAAGATAATAAGACTTGGACCTGCCCAACAAAAATGGGTGAAAACAAAAGAAAAGTTGTAAACAAAACAAAAATTATCTTCATATATTTAAAAAACTAAAAAAAACTACAACCGGTCATGTCATGACTGATTTGTAGTAAATCTGGTGTAAGCATCAGACAAGTTGTTCACATCTTATCACACATACGGATGTGTACGTACGCCTGTCAATGCCTTCATTATAAAAGTTCGCAACCTTGCAGAGTTATCACCACTGTTTGGTTAAAGTTTCATTGGGAAGGAAATTTTCTTCCGAAGTACACTGTGACTTTCCGGCGTTGTTAACGATCTGCATACATGGGTGTTGGGGTAGCAGTTAGTATCTCGTTTTTCAGTGGTGAGAGAACTGGTAATACTTTTTGCCTCGAATTGGCTACAGGATCGTACCAGACATTTAATTCTGGGAGCGTGGGTGCTATTGACCCCAGGATCACCGAACCTAGGCTGGCAGTTGGGCTCCTTGTGATAGCATCGCTATGGCTGTGGTTATCCTTAATTGCTGGATGGTATGAAACCGCATGTATAGTTGAATTAAAAATGGTGTATCTGATCCATAGGCAAATAAACACATTTCGATTTTTACAACCCACACTAATATTCCCGTCATCCTATTGATCATTATTCAAGGGGCACTGCACATATGAGCTAGGCCGCACAGCTGCTGAGGTTTGCTGACGAACATGCTGTTTATCATATTCAGTGACCGCCCCAGTAAAAAACCAGTAAGGAAAGATCAAAAGTCAAGCGGCGCCGAAAGTATGATACCCTACGCCACTATGCGTGTTTAGTAGAACTTCCGTAAAAAAGCTGTAAGTTCGGCCGGGCCGAACTTTGAATGCCCTCTACCTTTTGAACGAATTTGGCATTTCTCAAAAAACAATAAAATCCGCTAAAAACTCTCTTAAAAATACCGAAGGTAGCCCTTATATTAGGGTCTATACGACGAAATGGACATACATAGGTAACTTTTGTCATAAGCCAATACGAAACTTAAAAAAAATCGCTAAAATCATGAAAATACCGAATATCGGGAGATACCGTTATATGGGAGCTATACGAAGGCGTGGACCTGCAG